GGATTCCTCAAGAAAATTCATCTGCCTTGGCCTGGGCAACCTGACAGTATCCAGCCCACATACAAATCATGGAACGTTTTCTTTTTTGTAAAGATTATTGTACCATGATTTGTTTGGCCCAGTCTGAAGTCAGACGCGTGTGGAATATATATATATATATATATATATATATATATATATATATACACCCGCTCGCTTAGCCTTCTAAATCTTTCTAGCTGGTAGCTTTTTTATACCATTGTTAGCTAGTTTATGTCGTTCTACTTCACGGATTTCCAATCAAGGTTTTTGAACTTACCGCAAATTATCATTATGCGTTGCTTCGTTTGTTTAATTGACGCCTAAGGTTTTGGCTTCTCAGTCACCATCTTTAGTAAAACGCCATCTTAAGCAGACGGTTACCTGAAAGACTACCAACGTTCCGTATATGGAAACTAAGTGCTCGAAAAAACGAAGTAATTCAATGACAATGCCGAAAAGCACATGGAGCATTTAGAAGAAAATTACAGACACTATTCTGTTTCACAAAGCACCCACTAGCAATGTCGTCAACCTGTGTTTTTCCTCTGGTTTTAATGTTATACTATGGCTTCTACCTTTAAATGATAATCTTATCCTATCGATCGGTGAAACATGTCTTAGCTTCTATTTATCCTTTCACTTCAGGTTATTTGCATCTGGTTTTATCGCTGCCTTGGTAGGCAACTTCAAAAGCTCAGTTCCAAATATTCATTTTCTGTTCGATGATTTTCAATAGCCCTATTAAAAATGAACAATACAGACATGTGTGGTCCACTGGATGAATATAAAAAGCAAGTGAATTTGCTGTCCAGAGAGCCCTGGTATCACTATGATCTATCTCGAGATGAATCAGAGAAGCGCGTTCGGCGAAACGGAGAGTTTCTTGTACGTAGTTCAGCCCATACCCCGGGCGATTTTGTTCTTACTTACAAGTGGAACGGCAAAGTTGCTCATATTCTTATTAAACAACGTGCACGAAAAGGCGATTCCACAGAGGATTCCAAATCCTTCCTCTACTCTTTTGGAGTGGTCGAGTTTCCTTCGGTAGCACAACTGATAAAATATCACTGGACCAATCAGCTTCCGATGGCTGTTTCTTCCGAGGCTGTTATATTTCGACCAGTTCATTATGTCGGCGTCAAGCACGAACAAGGTAGTGTGTATATTCGCAACACCTATTTTTCTTTTTCTCTAGGCTTACCATGGAAACTTGGTCAAGAACCGCTGTCAACCCATCGGAACAGCCCATCATCTCAGGTGACTCCGATTTCTCGTGCAGCTGCAAAACTAAACGGTCTCGCGGGCTCAGTTTCCGATGTGCGTGCTCGATTTGTTTCAAATAATGTTGAGCCAAGCATTAAAAGAGCTAGTCTTTTGGACTTGCGGGGTACCACATACATGGATCCTATGCTACTGGACGATATTGACTATTGCCCCCCGGAAACGTTGGACAGCTCCCTTGGGTCATTCCAAATGCGTTCCAGCCAAAATTCTCTTTTTGATACGGGTGCTTTGACACAATCATCAGAGGCAATCAACATCAAGAATATGGGATTATCGGTGAGTAGTGGGATCGAGGCTTTTTGTGTTGCTTCAACCCCCAGTTGTAATATGCCGACTTTTGTTTGTATTCTCTGTTCGATACCAGTTATGCTCTTCGGTTATCTTTTGCTATTTACCCGTGAATCCTATTCGTCGCGCACTGTTTTTCAAACCTATCGCTACCACCTTAGGGTACCATGAGAGAGGAAAATAATCTCAGAACTGCGTGTCATTGTTTGCACAGTACATTGTAACCCTGATTCTTCAAAATTTTTCAACTTGTCACGCTAGTCTGTGTCAAACAAATCACGGTACAATAATCTTTAGAGAAAGAAAAAAGGTTCATGATTTGCTCTCGGGCGCGAAACTGCCAGGCCAAACCAGTTGAACTTTCTTGGAGAATTCACAGGATTACCGTGTCTCAATTGTGTGTAACTACGTTAGATGGTACTAATCCCAACAAACGCAACGGAAATCCGTTTTTGAGAGTAGTTTACAATAACTAGTACGTATGTCTATACACGTGAATATCTGTATCTCTAGGACTTCAAAATAGGTAAATTCTACAATAGATCACTCGTGCAGTCAGTAATGAAAGGTAACGGATGACTACTTGTTACGTAACTCATCTCAGATACACAAGCACGTACATACACAGTCCTTGCACGCGTGTTTGCGTCTGAATGCTGAATACAACACAGAACAACAGGACTTTCCAGGACAGCCGCATTAGTTTAGTCGCTGTCACCGGCGTGCTTTGTATCCTATGGTCCGAGGTTCGAATNAAGTCCCGGGGCTTAGGTTGCAGGTTTCCACCGCTGAACTGCATGTCCTCATGACTATGGAGTTCCTCCCGTCTGCTGTTCATCACACTCATGTGTGTAATAAAAAAGGTTAACACGGTTAAACAATGCTGGGTGGGAGTGATAGTTGTAGAATAACACATTGGTTTCCTTATGATGAAGGATTACAACCACGACGTTTCATTTTGAATGTTACTGTTAGTGCTCCCAAGCACGCACTCTCACCTGCAATGGAGCCAACACAATGTCCTGTGAGATCATGTGGTGTTTGTCATTCTCGAGCACAGTGACTCACTATCATATACAGGTTGCTTAGTGGTTCATGACGATGGGCTTAGAACGGCTTCTGAGGTTGATTCCTTTTATTTCTTTCATTTTACTTTGTTTTATTTAATATGTAATGTCACAGTTTTCGGGAAGGAGGAAGCGGTCAACTGAAGGACTGTATACAACACAAGAAATGGAGAAATTAATGCGGTGGAAATGAAATCCGAACGCACGTTCGACGGATCAATAATTTAGTGACCTTAACCGCTCGGCTGCTACCACCGGAGTATTTAGAAGTAGGTCACCGAAGCAGAGTGAATAGAAATGAGTTGATTGAACCACACCACTGTAATTAACATGTAACGGCCCACATGATCACAGTGTCATAGCGAATAATCGGCAGTATTTTGCATGAAACAGCAATCACACGTTTGACTGCTTTAATTGATGAGTAATCGGTTGTAAATAATCTTCGTATAAAGTGAAAATATTAAATCATGACTTTACCCATCAGTTTCTGAATTCTTTAAAATTGCATGACAGTTTCCTCGAAGCAACACCGGGTCGTTAGGGTAGTCAGAATAGACGCACTCGGCGAACATGCTGCGGTAAAGTCTAGGCTCCGAGAAGGTCAACATAAAAACATACTACTGGAGACATTACAGCACGGATTTCTGTCTTAGTTGTGCCTCATCCACAACCGACTGATCACTACAGAGCTTTCATGAAAAATGTACGCTTTTTGTTGTGTTCCAACGATGTCGCATTGTGTAGCGCCAATCATCTTTACTGAGTCTGGACAACAACTCGAATCATAAAATTATCTGTTACAGGGAAAGGTAAACCCCATCTAAACCTATTATTGCTGCTCTCGACTTAGCAACCTTTCATTTATTTTGGTAGTCATCGGGTTTTGGTCATCATACGAGAATTAGACTGGAACAAAGAGCGTGTGGTTCCGTCTAGATCCTTCGAAAATAGAACAATAGCTTGCTAACGTGTAATATGCACCATTTGGTTGTTCCAGTGGCGTGGTCTACCGATACAAAGGTTTGTCAACCTCGTCTCGCGTCATCTTTTGAAGGAACCCGATCGATGCATTAGGTGTG